GTGATTTCTTCTCTGAATGAGGAATAAAAATCATTACTTACTGTTTATGTAAAATAAAAATGAGTAGTTCTTTTCAACCTGTAAAGCATTGAGTGAACTAACACAATTTGATTATCAAAACATTTGTAAGACAGTAATGATTATAAAGAATTGTCTTTTCTGCTTGATTAATTCAAGAAAGAAAGTCATCAGATGGCCCAGACTTATTCAGATCAATGAAAATAACAGTCTCTGTCCATCTGGTAGATTTGAGGTCAGATAAGGGTCAGACCAGGGTCAGATAATCAGGTCATCTGGTTCACTACAATGTTAAATTTAAAGACCCAGTGCTCCTTGAAGGAATTCATATCACCTGCTGCCTTTCATGCTGGAGGTCTTGACAGAGTTGTAGCCATTTTTTTTAAGGATGCACGATGTTGGATTTTTGGCAGATAACCGATACCAAGACAAATATTTTTCCCCCTAGACCTTTTTCATTCAACTTTTATTTAGACAGGTTAATTCCATTGAGCCTCGAGGACTCGTTTACAAGAGAGACCTGAATTCTTAACAAAGAGTGATGACAGCAATGAATAACAACGACAACAATAGACTGTCAAAAAATAGGCATACAAATTTAAGTTTCTCTTTTTTTTTAATACAAATTGAAACAAAATAGCAACCAAAAGGACAAGCAAGAGGAACAGCAGCAAAAAAGAGTTACATCACAAGGCGATGTAGAAAACTAAAAACAGGAACATGTCTGCATTGGCTTTTGCCAGGTACTTAACAGGGTTTTAAAGTAACTTGAGAAGTCAAGGTCGAGAGCTTCAGATCGTTTTGTAAGGTATTCCAGGAAACAGGGGTGGCGTAGGAGAAGGCCCCTTTGCCTAGTTCAGACCTCACTGAGGGAACACTGCAGGTAATAATGTCCTGAGAGCGCACGCTGTAGCTGCACTCGTGCAGAGACCTACTTACAGAGATTACATAGCTTTCTCTGCTGTGGAATTAAAATACTACAATATTCTGCATGGTCTTTGTCAGTTTGGTCTGCTACCAATGCAGATGCCAAAATGGGGGCTGAAAATGATGTAACACTTCAACTTGGATTATGTTTAATGTCAAATTTATGACATTTACTCTCTCCAACAGTGCAAATTTGTAAATTTTCTCAAATCTACTCAACCTGTTCACAAGCAACAAGTGAAAAGCACATAAGTAGTAGAGCATTAATAGATATACCGTACTTGATATTTCTTAAATTAAAAATTAACTTAAAACTGAAGCCTTTTAAATCAAAAAGTTATTTTGATGGAATGGCTGAGATTTAACTTTATCACTAATATCGGCCAATACCGATACCATGCCGATAATATCGTGCATCCCTAATTTTTGTTGGCTAAAGTCAACTGGCTGTGGCGACTTGGAGTGAGATGACACCAAAAGTTAACGAGTTGTAATTGAACAACCACAAGTTTCATTGTAATTCATATGGTTCTTCATAAAATATTTTGCTAACAGATCTAGTTGACTGCAATAGTTAATGGTAATGTTTTAAGCAAAGATCTGGTGCGAGCTGTGAGCACTCGGAGCATGTGTTGGGGATGACACAAGTCCTGCCACACCAAATATGAGCTCAGTATCTATAATCTGCCAGCATAATAAAAGAGGAAGATGATTCCTCACATTCTTGACATATTTCGTGTTGGTTCTCACCTGGGCTTGCAGGGAGGCGATGGTGTCTTCTAGTTCCTGTCTGAGTTCAGCTGGCATCAGACCTTTGATCTTCTCCTCATACTCCTGATGCACCATCGTCACCTGAGAACACAGAGGCAGTTAAATCAGACGCCATCCAGTCCAACACAATAAACCACACAGCGTGAAATGTTGCTTCTTTACTTCATCACACATGAAGAGTTGTACGCAGATTAGAGAAAGATGTACGGTTTTATAAAGCATCATTAATATGTCAATATTCCTGCTGAGTAAGTGTTTCTGCCTCCCTCTGACTCCCACATGCAGCAGCTCACACACACTCACACACACAGACTGTGGGTTTCCCCTCTTTACTCATGGTTCTTTGCTTTTTCACAGCTCCTTCACATCTCCACAGGGGGTCCGCAGGCTGGAACCACTCCACTCTGCACAACACCCCCTCTACCGGCTGTCGGGCAACTATAGCTAAATCTGACACAAAGCACTTATGGGCTCTTCAACAGCTGGGCTTGGAAGTGGACTGGAGCCGAACACATGAAACGGCAGCAGCAAGCGGCTAGCTAGCTATCTTCACCGGGAAGGACCGGAGGAAGTCTGTCTGGGGCTAAATTACACTCCACTAAAACCAGAGTCTGATTATAGAAGTTGAAAATGGTTTAGGTTAGCGCAACCCCCACTTTTTGCCCACAAACACACATGAATGGACACACACAAATGCAGCCCGTAGACATGCACAAATGGTGATTTTACTGTAACGTAAAACAACAACAACAACAATTACAGCATTTTGAAGAGATGCTGACTCAATTAAAGACTAGCATTCCTTCAAGGAATACATATCGCCCAACACGGCTAATGACAGAGTTTTGAATGTCTTATGATGAAAAATGTCACGATTCTAGCTATTTTTGGTAAAACACTGAAAATAACTTGTATACACAATCTCACATATTCTCTTAGAGCTTGGCGTACATGTTGTGAATGACTCTCAGCTACTTCCACCCTAAGTTTTAGCTTAATATCTGTAAAAGCCAATAGGTTGTAGACATTATTTCTGATAAGCCATAGAGCTCATCTTGAATTGGACTGGCTCTAAAAGTTAATCAGTTGCCAATAGTCACTTTCTAAAAGTTTTATTGAAATCTGTTCAGAATTTCATGTGATATTTTGCTAACAGACAGGCAATGCAGAAGTTTTAAACAAGCATGCAGCTACAGTTCACTCACATATTTCAAGGTGGAACCAGAGGGGAGAGTCTGGCAACTGTAAAGTGTCTGGCAGAGCCAATGTCCAGCTAAGTCCAATCTGCTCTTTCAAGTGCAGGGAGCGTAAATAAAATGACGGGGGAGGATAAAAAAAAAAGATCAGCTTCCCTAAAATAATCTTCCTGTTGTGGATTTAACTGATTGTTCTGGCTTTGGCTAATTAATCTTTCTGGGCACAATGAGAGGGATTGGGGAAGCACTTCAAAGCAGCCCTCGGTATAAATGATCCCTACACGGAGCGGCTCACTTTGTCTCGGCACAGTGTGCAGCAGATTACTCTGGCACAACTTAGCCAGTTTTTCTGCATGTTCCAACCCCCCCCCCCCCCCCCCCACTCCCCCCGTTAATTTTTAAAGTGTTGGACCAATTACACAGGGTTAAAATCCATCAGTTTACAAAAATATGTTTTCTTTTCTAGCTGTGTGAGAATGAGGTCAAGGATAATTTGAAAGGGATCTTTCCAAACAAGTGCACAAAAAAAACAAAAAAAAAACAGGTTATACAGGCTTTAATCTTAACGTCTAGAGTTTTAACAAAAAAAAAAAAAAGATCTTTCTAAATGTCTATATCTATCTATAGCAGCTTCTGTAGCCATAACAGAATGGCAAGCCAAGACAAAACACACTTCACTACTTCAGACCAAAGCAATAAACAATGGTTGAATAAACACATCCTTTACCAACCGCCCTGAATATAAGTCTTAGATTCTTCAAAAGCCAAGTTCCTTCGTTCTGCATTCTTGATTCATGTATGGTGCAGTTACCACAGCAATGAGAGGTCCGCTCGGCCTAAATTATAAGCTCTTATGTGGCGATGCTGGCTCCATTTTCTGTCCTGTACGTACATTGGAACGAGCAGGTCTACAACAAAGTATTCATAGGGACTCAGAGAGTGATGGAGGCGACTGGTAAATGAAGAAACAGACAGAAGGTGGTATTACAGAAGAAATCAAAGGCCTAGCGTTCCTCGAAGGAATGCATGTTGCCCACAACCTTTCGTGCAGGAGTTCTAAATTAATATTGGATGTTGAGAAATTACTGAGTTACGGTCATTTTGATCAAAGAAAGAAATCTCATGCAATATCACAATGTCACGCTCAGAGTATGTGTTGTACTAACTGTTCTGGTCTACTACAACGTCAAACTAGATCAACATCTGTAAAACTAACTGTTTAAGCCATTTCTGTGTTGGATAATGTTAATCAGCTGTGGCAGCCACCTTGAATCAGGTTGACTCTTGACTTGATTCGATTGTAAATGATTATTTCTATATGTGTGATTCTAGCTCTTCCTCCAGGTTCTTGAATCCAGGGTGGCGTCAACAAGCAGCAGCTGGGGATCATTCCATTAACGAGCTCCAGGACTATAAGAGGCTGCAGAAGAGCTCCATTCCCTGCTGGAGCATTACTTACCTACTGGTATTTGTGCTATTGGTCTCCTTGTGTGAAATCTCAGATTTAAGTATACTTACCTTGTGTTTTCCTTGCGTTCTTATAGAACTTGTCTCCTGAGCCTCCAGTCCTGGGTTCCTTATCGCCTTCAACAAAACCTCGACTCCAATACATACCTGTGAGTTCCTTTATCTACTTGTGGATCTTCTTCAGCTGCTACACCACCATCCAAGAACTTGCCTCCACACTCCACCTGCGCTCCTCCAAACCTGGACGTGACCTACTTGGAATCCTCTGCTTTCCTCTCAGTGTAACCTCTCACCTTCCTGCCTGTAAGAGATCAACAGTCTGCACTATCTACCAGGTCCTCCTCTCAGTTCCTGATGTTTCTCCTTCCTCTCTCCCAGGGTCTCGAGCTGTATATACAGTAGTCCCTTGTTTACCGCAGGGGGTCCATACCCTAAAGCCCCGCGATAAGTGAAAAACCACAAAGTCAGAGTCAGAGATTCTTTATTGTCATTCGCACCTCATGTGGTACATGTGGTGGAGTGAAATTATGTACACAGGGTCCCAGTTACATCCAACAATAAAATGTAAAGGAAAAACAATGATAACATCTAAGATATGAACTAAGGAAAACATCAACTAAAAATACACTAAGCACTCATAACATAAAAACATTACGTCGAACATCAGCACAAACATGAACATGAGTCTGTGTGAGCAGATGAGCGAGCATGAACACATAAACACTGAAACAGATCAGATCAAAGTAGGAATAGTAGTACAAATAGTAAGTACCAGTAGTAGTTTATTTTAGTTTATTTAGTATATTGCAAGTGTGGGAAGGATTTAAAACACACACACACACACGCACGCACGCACGCACACACACATAAATAAAGGTATACATATAAATATACGCTATATATATATATATATATATATATATATATATATATATATATACGCTATATATATATATATATATATGTATGTATTCAAAAATACTTTATTAAATTTGTTGTTGTAACTCGTGATCCGCATTTCATAAAGCAATGTTATAGATGCTGATGGCTGTAGGCAAGAAGGATCTCTTGTAAAGGTCCATTACACAGCGGATCCTAAGAAACTGGATGCAGATGCCATCCGATCAGTCCACCCAGACTCGGCTGGCCTCTCGGTTCTCCCGGGCTGTAGGACTGCCCAAATGGCGGGCAGAACTCCTCCCAGAGTGATGGCCACTCCTCCCAGCAGCCTGTCGAGCTCCTCGTCTCTGCAGACAGCTAGCTACAGGTGTCGGGGGACAATCCTGTCCTTCTGCTGTCATGAGCCGTGTTTCCTGCTAGTTCCAGGATCTCAGTGGTCAGGCACTCGAGCACAGCTGGCAGGTAGATGAGAATGCTTCCACAGAACATCCTTTTCAACTCATTTGAGATTTTGGTCACCACAAGAGTCTACCAGAATGTTTTCGAGGACTTCATAATTCCTTCTGCTGAGAATCTATATGGAGATGCAGATTTCATCTTCCAGCAGGACCTGGCCCCTGCCCATGCTGCCAGAAGCACCAAAATCTGGTTTGATGCCCATGCCATCACAGTGCTTGACTGGCTAGCCAGCTCGCCGGACCTAAAGCCCATTGAGAATCTATGGGGTATTCTCAAGAGGAAAATGAGGTGCACCAGACCCAACAACAAAGAAGAGCTGACAGCAAGCATCAAGGAAATCTGGGCTTTCATACCTCCCAGGCAATGTCACAGGCTGATTGCCTCAATGCCACGTCGTATCGAGGCAGTGATTAAGACAACGGGATTCCCAACCAAGTATTGAAGATTGACATATTGTTTTGAAAGTATCATATTTTGATTAATTTGTTGTGATCCTAATTTCTTTATTTTTTCCTGCAAAAACTGGGTAGTGTGTGGGCTGATGTCTTAACAGTATTCTATTTTTTTGAATTCCTGTTTTCGTGGGTCTCATGAGCTGGAAGACCAAATTATGTAAAAATAAACAAATAAATACTTGAAATAGTTTAAATTCTGGGCCCTGAATCTATCATCTATTAAAGATGAACTTTTTGAATGGAATTATTGAAGTTAAAACAACTTTTCCATGATATTCTAATCTTTTGGCAAGGGTCTGTATATATATATATATATATATATATATATATATATATAAAGAGTTTTGAGTCTGTTGTCCTCAGTCTGTTTGCTCTGGGTAAACACCACCATTGAGACATGATGCCTCATTACAATTTTCCAGTGATTCATGAGATATTTTACTAACAGAGAACAAACACACAGACTCAGGCAAAAACATTAGCGCCCACCTTTGTCTTTTAGTAGTGGGTGATAATTTAAAGTTTTATGCTCTTTCCAAATCTCAGTGTGAGTGGAGGAGGCATTTTTTTCACAATCCCTCTGCTTCACCAACAGTTACAGCAA